TGGAGTGCCTCAAAGTTTGATGCAAAAACGCATGATCGCACCGGCTCGCCTGGTGCGTTCCAGCCTCGGTTGCAATTTGCATATATGCAGAAACGCATAAAAACGCGTTTAACTGTTTTTTGTGCGAATGAATTTGCATAATTCCTCTTGTGAGGCTAGAAGCCCCTTAAAACTCGCTTTGTATGTGACTTGCCTGGCCCTGGACTTTAAAAGTGAAGTAAAACACAGAGCCCTTTCTCTGTCTACTCTGAGCGTGAGGGAGCAAAACGAGAAACTCGTGCGGACTCGTGCGCATATATCTGTTAGCAAATTTAGCTCATGACGGTTAGAGCCACAGAATTACATCAAATTTAAACTGAAATTGAAAAAGCGAAAGGAAAAAATGCTACGAAGCGAAGAAATGAAGAAGTTTACGAAATTTTAAGCTTAGAAAAGTTAATGAGCTGGAAAGAAACGTTACTGCCCGTAAAAAGTACTTAACCAGATGTGTATTGAATTTGACATGGAAATTTGCTTTAACCAGTGACTATTTCCGCGCGTTGAGTTACTGATAGTCTTTTCTCAAAACTGTCTTGAGCTACAGATGACGGTCTCCACATTCGTTTTCAAGTTTCTTAGTTTTTTCGGAAAAATTCATCTTATCGCTTTGTGGTCTAGCTTGTTTCCTCCACACAGCTACCGCGATCAGTGTTCCTATTGGTCATCACACATAAGATCTGTGTTGAGGAAAAGACCATGTAATGGCCATCTGTCCTGTGTTGTAAGATCAGTTTGTAAAGAAGTAAATTGCAGAGATGCTGGTGATCGGTCGGCTGGCGCCACGTTGGAATGTGCCGATCATCGCGCATCTGTCCGGTGACGATGCACTCTCCGATAGATCGGTATTTCCGACACTTGGTTCAGTGGCACTCACTTCGGCTACCGAAATGGCTCGAGCTACTTTTACCTATCTCAGGCTTTACAACTGGCAGAAAGTCTGCTTTTAATTGGGCAGAAAATCTTGAAAGTCCACTCTTTAGTGCTTCAAAACGACTGATCGCTACCTTTCGTAACAGATTCCTGCACTATGCATACACTAACGTGAAGAACCAAAAAAAGGTTTCTAAAGTAACACTATCAAAGTATCTTTGAAAAGAGTAACGAAATTTTTCATCCGACGCCCTTAATATATTTGGTACGTTTTGTCAAAAGCACTTTCAAAGTTTGAAACCAAGAAACCTTTAAAATTCGCTGTTGCTAAGAGACGGATCATAGAAAAAATAACCTACATGGTGCTACCTGTTAACCTACATGGTGCTACCTGTTAGCTGTGTGAGGAATACAGTACAAATAATTCCATGCTCTGCATGGCAGCTATAATAATGTCAATTTTCAGCAGAAAAGAATCATAGAAAGCTGAAAGCTTATTTGCCAGCTATAATAATGTCAATTTTCAGCAGAAAAGAATCATAGAAAGCTGAAAGCTTATTTACCAGCGAAAAAAATTGGGTGTTCAGTTCGAAACTGAAAGTGGGCACCAACTGTCAGTTTTTTAGCTCTCCAGCCAAATTTTTGGCAGTTGCGCATGACCAAGCGACAAAAAAGGTCCTATAAACTGAGTATATTGCTCATCTTGCCGTTACCCGTGAGGATTGCGCATTAGTGAGTGGCACCTGTGAGAAAGCAAACGATCATTTGGATAGCCGCCAGTAATGCCGCACACACTTGAACATGAACAGGACCAAAGGATCTAGAGTGTGGGAGCAATCCATTAACATCATAAGATACCCGTACTAATAACCTGGGCAGTCGAGGTATTCATGGTGTAAATAGTTTTTAGTCAGTAAAACGTAGATTAATAAATGAAGTACTACTTGACACCACATTTTGCAAAAAAATGTGAAAATATATCCTAGTAGGGAGCCAAAATTTTTCATTTCTTCTTTTCATATCTTTTTGGATAACTATCCAGGTCAATTCTTCGAACTCACAAATATTTAATTTCAGTCTTTTTTTGGCTTTGCAACCTGAGAAGCATTTAATTTTAGATTGGAATTGTGCGGCCGACAAGATCCTACGGCCGCCTTTCCATACATTCGCTCACTGAATTATTAAAAAATAATAAAGAAGTTGAAATTACGATAATGATCGAAATTGACCCATACTCTTCTGTGGAACAGATCATTGAAACCGGAAAGCTTACAGCATTACGGCAATCTGCGCGAAGTAATTTGTTCGTTTTGTGCTGATGACACAACAAGAAGGCTCCCTCCTCCCTTGTAACCTTCAGCCCACTCCCCACAACCTTCTTAGCCCTCGTTCGCTTTTTGTAATGTATTTTTGTAATGTACATTTTTGTAATGTAAAAACTTTTCTGTAGAGGGATATCCTGTCCGTTCGTGTATTTGCGACGTGACTGCATTTGTTCTCACATATCAGTCTCCAAACTCACGAAAAATATGAAATAGAAATTTTGGCAGCTTTGTCTACCACTATGGATGAGCCTCTAGGCATAAAATGAACTTTTCATGTCCGTTAGTTTTCACGTTTGGGACTTGAAAGGCATTTTATTGCAAATACGATTTCGATTTCGTAACGAAGACAAACTGGAAAGTTGAAACTTTAGCAAGACGTCCTTTTCCACGTGTGACTCGCAGAATTCAAATCCAAGTTTCATGCTGGCTTAGACATCACGTACGTGCACATCAATGTTTATACTGGAACCTTGCCAATTTAGGAGTAGAGGCAACGGATGTGCCGGGATGTGAAAACTAGATATCGACTCGCACCGGGGTTACCGGTGCGATTATGCATTTTTGCGACAAGCGTAAGCTTTAATCAATTAGATCGCTAACAGCGTGAGTGACTGTTGCTTTACAGTTTAGCATGCGCACTCACTGGCTGTGTTTTGCTCTTTTCTAGCATACAGGGAAATGGACGTTGAATAGGACGGCTGTGTTGCATCATAGAGCTTCCAGCACGCGTGATTTCCGTGAATTTTACTAGGAGGAAAATGAAACGTCCCCTATGCCGTGACGCAAGTGAAGTTCGAGACTCAATTTAGGTATAGGACCCGCAAACGGACAATAAATATACCTAGCAGATGGACAATAAATATCATTTTCTGGATAGTGCTCGAACCACATTGATGGGATTAATTCTAAATTTTCTCTAATTTCTTGCTTGATTTGCAGTTGTAATAGTTGAGTTGGGTCTGGATTTGAATGATTGTACAAATTTTATGATAGCTGTCCAGGCAGCGGGGATGAAGAATGAAGAATATGTCTATATACTTCCATGGCTATCCCACGTAAGTTTCAGCAACCTATAAAATCAACCTGCAATAAAATGGCGTTTCTGGAACCTAGCACTTTAGCATTTCCTTTTTTGCTTTTGCAGGAATCATGTTTTTCCGGGGATTCTTTCTTGGATTAGCTGTCATTTCGCAACTTTATGCTTTCGAACCTAACATCTCCACCACAGCTGTGGTGGGGATTAAACCGCCCGGTGGTCAGTTGACTAGCCTTGACTTTCATTTCTTTACCTCCCTTCCTGGTTTTCTGAGACAAAATACGAGGTCCACTGCATTTCGTTTGCTGCTTGCGTAGTTCTACAGCTTATCAGTTAACAGTATTCCAGCACTCTTTCACAACCATACCATTTGTTAAACAGCAGCTGCTGAAAGTGATTTGTGTTATATCTCTGAAAGCGTTACAAATGCAAATATGCCAAACTCAGGAATGGATGGTGCGGGGAGTTGCTTGCCTCAAAAAATAAGCGATGAGTAATTTTCCCTGTTCCTTTCAGTTCTTCATTTCTAAGATTCTTACTCAGTTCTAGCAAATTTTAGAATCCTTTTGCAGAATTTAAAGTTGAAGTTGGTTATAGCGTGCGAAATTAAATTAAATGACATAAAAACTACAATAAAAGTCAGCCTTCTATTTTGTAAATTCTCGATGAAAACAAGCTGTGAATCATTACTGTTCGATGCGTTTTCAGATATCAGATTATTATCCGTGGGAAGGTGCCGGCGTCGACAAGCAGCTGGTGAAACGAGCATACGAAAATACAATTGTGATTACAGCACATGGTTATGACCAAAAATTCATCCAAGAATTTCAGGAAAAATTTGCTAGGGAAACTGGCCGTTTGGCTTCGCAGGTGCGCTAGAACAGAATTCATTTTGCGGGATTATATTGTACTGCCTTGTTAAAAGCACGACGGGAAGCCCGCAAATTCTACGGAAAGATGTGCCTGAACTGTATCTGGAGTTATCTGGATGTGAGAATCCATAAAAAGAAAGAAGCAGCTACTAGTTTCTATAGGGGCAAGAGGAATGGTAATAATGAAACAACAGTTAACCGAGGTATCAATGTACTATCTTGTCTGGAATGTGATAGTTTCGTTGAGAACACCATTCTGAAAACTCACTCCGCACTAAGCTGCGTGCTTTTTGCTGCTGTTACAGAGACTTCTCTGGCGTTATTTTCATGAACTAAGCAAAATTTTATGGTGTACATAAGCTGAATTGCAGTACGCTTTGCTTGTGTACATGTCGCTCTATGACGCGCTGTTCTTATATGGACTTGCAATACGCGATGCATACGACTTTACCGGCAATGACCAGATTTACAAAAATGGGACGTTCATTTGGAAGAAAATGACCGGCCGACAGTTCCTAGGTAGCAGTGTTTGTTCGGGTCTATATTTATCGCCCTTTTTGCTCTGAGATTTTGAATAAGATTAAAAAAATAATAAATGGAGAATATGTACCACGGCCAACATGTTGCCGCGAGAATCACTTGATGAATAAGCCGATACTTACCAGCAAGAGTACCTTATAATAGTTATTTAATAGATCCAATGCATACAAAGTGCTGGAAATTCAGATACACAGCTTGCTTCAGACTCGAGTCTTTACATCGGTCTGTATTTGAGGGTTCGGTCCAGTCTGCAAATAATTTAGAGTTCAAAGACTAATTCTAAACAGCCTAACTTACACTGCAACTAAAATCCCACAATAGCAAATTGGTTACATACCTCAGTCCAGATTAGGGTCCTACGTTGCACTTCAGAACACATTGAACACTGAAGCCTGATATTAGATTATGCGCCTAAGATTATTTGTTGAAATAGTGTCTTGGTCAATATCTCAACGGGTGTGACATCATAGCGAGTGCTACAGCTGTTGTGCGGAAAGTAAAAATTTCGATCAATTTTTTTACCGTTCGTTCATTCGTTTCGATGCTAAACTGGTACTACTTCACGCCAGGGATCCTACATTCAACTGATTTCTTGGACAAAGCCTTCCGCTTTGTCCACGTAGCTAGTTGAAAGTGACCTCTCTAGCACGAAGTAGTACAACTGTGCCGGGCATATCGCTCTCTCTGAGAAAGACGGCCTTTCCTTTTCTCCGTCTTTCTGTTGATCTTGTATTGGCTGAAATTTATATTTAAATATTTTTCGTTGTCTGTTTTCAGGACTGTAGGTGTTACAGGTATGACTGGTCAAGTACTGATCAACAACGAAGCAATCCGGGTGCCGAGATATGCTACTTATCAGATCTCGAATGGCAGTTTACGGATTGTTGTTGAACTGGAAGCGAAACTTGACGATGCGAATAAATGTCTGCTGAGAAAAACTGACTGTTCAATCCATGTTTGTTTTTCTTGCTCATCTAAGAGCTTCTGTTGGACCTCAATGTGCTGACGAATCAGGGCCGTAAGACTGCAAGGAAACATGCAGAATGTCGGACAAAATCTGTGCTCTGCAGGAGAAAAATACCGCATTCTATAACAATAGTAAAGCCAGGTGTTTATTCGCAGCGAATAACAACAGTACTAGTTAAATTGCTCGAAGATTTATTTAAAAACCTGATGCTAGCGATGGTATTGAATACACCTCACATGTCCTGCTCAGTTGCGTTAGGCTCTTTCATCCTGATCTGCATGTTTCCCATCAGTTCCTGTATTCTACCTAATTTATCCGCCCTATTTCTTCACTGGCCGTCCGAGTGGTTGGTTGTTTTCTCGCGATTACTAAGCACTGTTACGCGACGTCCACAAATTGTCATCGAAGCAAGCAACATACCCTGCCCATCGAATATTACTTTCTCATGTGGTCACAGTAACGAGCCACTTTTTAATAAAACCCAGGCAGCAACGCACCAGACTTGCCGGTGTGATCATGCTTTTTTTGCACTAAATTTGCAGATAGCTAACAGCAGAAATAGCTTTTGCACTGTAGTTTAACACTTGAACTCATATTGGCTGTGTTTTGACCCCTGCCGGCATATAGAGGAAAAAGGCGTCGGCTGGGATGAAAGTATTACAATGTAGGGCCGCACAGATCTCGGCCGTGCATGATTACCGGTTTTATGCGTTTTTGCATACATGTAAATTGCAAAAACGCATATTGGGAAGAGGCTGTGTGTGTGTG